TGGGGATGGACTCGTACGTGCATGTAGATTATGTCCCCAAAGTTTCAGCCCTCTAGCTTTTGCCAGTCTCGAGATGAAAAATCGGTGCAGGCGAACACACAGACACACACACACATACAACCTCTCGTCAGTATGCGTTTTCTGCATTGCATAGCTGAAAAAAAAACGCATTATAATAGCAGTGAAGAATGTACTGCACGGTTGACGAGCTACTGCATCATATCGTAGTAGTGGCAGGTTTCGGAACAAGTTGGTGATCCGGAAACAAACCAGAAATATCTCGGAACGTCTTTTGCCGAGTACTGCCACTGGAAAATCCATTGAGCTGCTGATTCATTCAGAAGTCGAAACGAACGTCAGGATCTCCAGCAGGCTGAATACCAAACGATGCAGCACGAGTAAAAGGGATTAGAAAAGTTCTTTAGTTGTGTAGGGGTGAAAAATCATGCCGTATACTATGGATTGGCGGTTGTTCTGGATACCCAGTTGGGGGGAACAGTTTCTGTTCCTATCAGAGCAATCAGCTAAGTTCGTGTACCCCTTATTTCAGGACTGAATCTTGGGAAAGAAGGTCCAATGGTGCATCTGGCATGTTGTATTGGAAATATATTTTCTTATTTATTCCCCAAATATGGTTCAAATGAAGCCAAAAAACGGGAAATATTAAGCGCATCAGCAGCAGCCGGTGTTTCAGTGGCATTCGGTGCTCCCATTGGCGGAGTTTTATTTAGGTTATTTTGTTGTATTTTCTGTCAATCACTGGGACTTTTATTTGATTTATGTCCCGAAGCCGCAGCCTTCCCGTCTCAAGTGCATGTTATGTTTGTTGCCATGCTGAAGCTCTTAGTTTACTTCCTTAAGAAGCGTAACTTGGCGAGTTGCCAAGAATGATCAAAAATATCAGTTTAGTAGCAGAATTGGCTGACGAAAGGGCGTTTTTATAGGACGAATGAATCATTAAATCTTCCCTAACAGGCCATCTTACTAGTACTGAAAATGATCGTAAAATGAAAAAAGAAATTGAAAAATTACAGTTTGGAGGAAGCGAGTTACTATTTTCCACTGAAGACGATGTGGCGCTCCTTCTTCTGTGCCCTCATCGCCGGAATCATC